TGGTATGTATGGGAATTATGATTTATGGTAACTAATGCAACAAAGCATTACTAAGGATTGTGTATGGTGTGAAATGGGAGGAGGAGGTGGTTAATGGGAGGGGGGTGACACAATGAGTGACTGCACCGGGTGACACCAACCCTGGGGATGCCACTAGGAGGAGGGACTCCTTCCTGTGGGCTTCACCTAGCAGGTTGACTAGATGCGTGCTCCTTTTTTGCCCAGGTACTGTCCTCCATTTCAGCCTTCTGTCCTAGAAGGATTCCAAAATGGCCTCCATTTTTAGCCTAAGAAACATGAATTTACATTTATATGACTGATTTTACCTTTTATTTTGTCATGTCCTCCATTTTCCTTGAATGTCTTCCATTTTGTGATTCCTTGTCATCATTTGCCATTAGGACATCTGGTCACATTACGTACCTTGTCAGGCTGGGAGGACAAAGTAGCGCGGCAGTAATATTGCTGCTGCTATTATTTTTGTTGTTGTGTGCTTTCTAGTAATTTCCTACTTATGGAGACCCTTAGGTGCTACGTCAGGTTTTCCTGGCAAGTTTCTGCATTGGGGGTTTGCCATTGCTATCCTCTGAGGCTGAGAGTGTGTGTGCCTTGCCAAGGTCACCCAGTGAGTTTCCATGGCAGAGCAGGGATTCAAACCCTGGTTGCCATAGTCCTAGCCCAACACTCAAAACCATACCACTACTCTGACTCCCATGCTATTATAAGGGGGGGGGGCGATATCAGTTCCCACCCCAAGTGTATGTGGATTGCAGGTTTTAACTCAGTGTCTGTGTTTTTGTATAAAACTGCTATTTGCAGGGGGATACGGAAAGCACAAACTTTGACTTTCCTTCTGCCAAATGCAGGACAATTCTTCAGTTGCCGATTTCTGTCAAACAGTTGTAGGAACAGGAGTCTACACCTTTGTTGCTGTGTGCCTTCAAGTGGTTTCTGACTTATAGCCATCCCTATCAAGGGGTTTTCTTGGCAAGATTTGCCTTTGCCTTCCTCTGAGGCTGAAAGAGTGTGACTTATTCAAGGTCACCCAGTGGATTTCCATCACCAAGCAGGGGTTTTAACCATGCTCGCCAGAGTCATAGTCTCTGGACTACATCCTGTGGCACAGATTCTATAGCTCAGCAATGTATTGTTTGAAGTATTTTCCTTTATCTGTTTTGAGGCTTCCAATATTCAACTTCAGCAGATATGGCATTCTAGTGGTACGAGAGGGAGAAAAACATCTATTGTCTCCACACCATCCAGTTTTATGAACTCTTACTACGTTTCAATTTCTCTGAACAGTCCAAATATGAAAGCCTTTTCGCACAGGTGACTTGCTCTAGTGCAGTGGTTCCCAACCTTTGTCTTCCATGTTGGACTTCAAGTCCCAGGGGCCCCAACTTGGCCAACAGTCAGGAATTATGGGAGCTGAAGTCCAAAACATCTGGAACACCAAAGGCTGGGAAACACTATTCTAGCAACTTGATACTTTTGATTGTCTTTCCCTAGCTCAACATCCCATTTAAGTACAGTGCCCAGAAATGTATAACATTGATGTGATATGGGCAGTTCTCCAACTTCAATTCAATTTCTAATTATGCCCACCATGGAGCTTGTCTTTCTCACATCTCCACAACCCATTACAGTGATAGTGCTACCACACAAGCCTGCCAGTGACCACAGCAAAATAGCTGCCTCCAGCTCAGACAGAATCACATAGTAGTTGTAGTGCAGTAGGCTGCAAATCTGAGCAGCTCTTGACAATCGAGCTCGTTATAGCATCACTATGGTAATACTGATTTTAACAATATACTTTCACCATGTCCAAATATTAATAGTTGCCCCTCCGTTTTCACAGGGGATCCGTTCTGGACCACCCCACAAAAACGAAAACCACAAATATTCAAGCCCCATTGGCTTGAATGGGTGTGCGCACCACTATATCTCTCCCTGCTTGCCAGTCCGCAAAAAGCGAGACCACAAACTTGAAGTCCACAAAAATAGAGGGACAACTGTAGACTAAATAAATCTATCAAGCTGCTCAAATGAATGTTTGTAGAAGAAATTTGTGAGTGTTGAAGATAAAACATTTATTTCAACTATTCTTCTAAAAATACAAAATCTCCACATACACAGTTAAGACAAAGAAATTTTAGACATAGGCCAAGGTCCAGTTGAGTCCCTGTGCTGAAGAAAGAAGCCCATCAGGAAATCTTGGGAAGAGGAACATTCATCTTCCCATGCATCCTGTACAGGGCCTTCAATATTTGCTTTAGGGGGCTGGGAAACCCTCCAGAACAGTTTTGAGTGGTGCAGAGAAGGAAAATCCCTGCACCAAGATCAACAGGAA